AAGCTGAACTAAAGCAACTGACTTCATCCTAACCTCTGTGGATTTTAGTGTAATACTTTCTATGGCCTACATTTGGTAGAGTAGGAATGTCCTTATCATGGGGAGAAACAACTGCACTGATCTCATTAGGAAGTTTATCACACAATATATTTTGACAGACATTCCTGGTTGCCTGCTGTTGAATGTTTTTAAGCTTTTAAGATAAAACAGAGTTTAACCAGGATTGCATGTTTTACCCTAACATTTCTAGAATGTAGCTTGATAATTATCCATCACTCCAGTTAATAAGAGGTAGCAGTCAAAGAAAAATAAAAACAGAGATAAATTTGTTGGCAAAGGTTCTGTGAATGTACTTGAATGAGAGTGATCTGGCAGTAGGGTACAAGGGCTCCTCTTCTCCTTGCAGGGATCTGAAATTACTTTTAAGCCTCTCACCAGCCCCAGCCTCCACAGAGCAGTGCGCTGGGAAGGCAGGAGCCACACCATCTCAAAAATACCTTAAACCCTCTGTTTTTCACATGAGAAGGAAGACAGTAGAAGCTGGTGCCATTCAAAGCAGGGAGGAGAGGGCGATCTGCCCAGGGCTGGTGTGGCAGCGGGCAGTGACCACACAGTGCCCTGGAGATGGGAGTCAGGGCTGCAGCAGCCGCACTGAAACTATTAAGGAAACAAAAAAGCATCCCGGGTAATTTAGTAGTAAGGGAGTATTGCTAGGATCCCTCTGGGCTGCATGCAGAGAGGATCTATGCCTACATTAGCACCAGCAAAAGATGTTTTGCTCAGTAGGAGCAACTGTTTTTGTTTAACTGGAGAGGTCCTGCACTCAGCTCTGGAGCAAGCCAAATATCCCCATGCCATTTACACATCTTTTTAGGATATTAAGGGTCCAAGCATCCTTTACAGACAAGTTTTTAGCCTGAAATATAGTAGGGGTTTATTCTGCATCCATCCATTCACCATTAGTGATTTTTACTGCTGAACGGACAAGGAGTTTGGATTTTCAACCGCGTGCAAGGCCAGGTCTGCATAAATGCAGGTGGCAAAATCCATCATCCTGGGGGAAAAGGTGGATGATGCTGTTGATGTCTGTCATCTCTCACTCTTCTGAGAATCCTTAGTTCTTGTCTTCCTTCCTTTCAGAGTCTAAATCTACCAAATGGCTTTGGCGCATCTAGAAAAAGAGAAGGGAATACACAAAAAAACAATTTAATAGTATCCATCAAAGCAAAGATTTTTGCTTGGCCCCTGTTTAAGATCAAATATCACATGCCCCAGCAAGTGATCGATATTTCGTGCCATTTTTAAAGATGCTCAGGTCTGGACAGAATTAGCTGCCATCAGAAAGGACGATGGCCCTTTTTGTCCTCCGGGAGAACAGACACTGTAAAATTTTCACCAGACTTTTAAAAAAAAAAAAAAAAAAGGAAAGACACATAGACATAGCCTGGGAATCTGAAATTCAGGCTCCAGCCATGCAAGTGACCTTGCTAAAGACAGTTATCATCTTGTGTTGTAGATCCTCTGGAGATACCTGGGTGTAAAATGATGAACCATTAATAATTATACCAATAAGTATTATTATTACTCTATTTTTTGAGTTTGCTTTTCTGTGTATAAGATCAGAGAGTAGCAACATACACAGGTAAAATGTGTAAGGGATTTGTGCTCTGAAACATGAAACTATTGTTACGAAATTAAAAATAGCATCATGTAGGCATATACCAGGAAGGACGTGCTAATTAACAGCAGAAAGTGCTTTTTTTCATTGAGGAACTAGACAGAATGAGGGATCTTGTTCAAAACCTGCCTGGTCTTCAGGCCTCATTTATACAAGTCACTGTGGCCTCATTTTGTTTCCCAAACCTTAGAGCTTAGCCCGGGAGCTTAGCCGTTCATGTCTCCTTCTTTCACCAAGAGGTGAAAGGTCCTAGGCAAGGAGGTGAAAAGCCGGGTAAGCTCAGAGCCCCAGTGTTTGTGGGGCTGTGAAAGGGCTGCCAAGGGAAGGTGAGGGCCAGCAACGTCTTTCAGTTCTGGTCCTGGAGGACAACAGAGAACATGGGATGTTGAATAACTCCCCTGAAGTGCACATGAGACAGGAGGTAGTTAGGTCCCTGATTTGGAGGCCTCTAGGAAATGCTGAAAGTCATGTTGGCAGCTGGGTTTTCATTTTCCCACACTTCAGTCTCCATCTGTAAAATGGGATGAAAGGCAATATTTTTTCCCATCTTTCTTCTGTCTTCCTTGCTGAGGAATTGTAACCATTGATGTGACAGCCCCACCTAGCACAACAGGACCTTTATCTCGCTTGGAGCATTTGGCAAAGCCAGTATGTGAGCTGTATTAGAAAAGGGCCCCATTTTCCCAAATGCCGTGGTGGCAGGTTCGTGTTTGCATGCTATAAAAGCAGCAAAGGCAAAACCCTTGCGTAGATAGGAAACGATCTGCCTTTGGAAAGAAGTGGATGGACAAAACGACCTCAAAGCAATTCAGCATCTGTGATTTCCTTGATTCCATCTGAAAGCTCGCTCTTTATTTTGCTGACATATGAGCTGGGTGCCCTATTGTACATCAGTGTAACAAATAGCCGTTATCTTCTGTTTCGTGGGAGATACAGCAGAACATGATTTATTTGTGCCTGCTCTGTTGCCTCTTTTGAAATGTTGCCGTCATTCGTGCACCTTTCGCAGAGGAAGGCAGATGGTCATCGCAAAGTTTCCCATAACCTTGCCGTGCGTGCTGCATAGTGAATCAATGAAATCTGAATTACAGTCCATTGTCTGAGTTTGGAGCTGTGCTGCTAAAGTATCCTGCAGTGGCTGAAAACATCTGAATGTCAACACTGCATATATACTGAGGAAATATGACATTTCTCCCTAAAATTTCAAAGCAGTGCCAAAGGGGATTTTTAACTGCGAAGTTGCATCTGACGTGAGCAGCGACTGCATTGCTCAAACCTTAATTACCAGCTTGGAAATGTACCTTTTGTGAGTGTGTGAGTGTCAGGTGTGACCCCTCCTTAGAAAAAAACAGAAATAATGAATCAAAACAGGATTCTAACACGAAATGCCAGAGATTAGGATTTTTTGGAGTCCAAACAGCACCAGCTGCCCCTCTGTGCTAGCTGCCTCTGCTTATATGACATTTGCAATGAGGCTTCAGGTGGTTTGAGAAGCTGGCATTAGACTGCAAATCACCTTTCATGTCACCTCGTGCCAGGATACCTCGCCAGAAGCCATTATTTCAATGGGAAATAACAACTGGGAATAGGGAAAAAATTAACTTCTGAAAAGCACTTTGTCATGTTCCCTGGGCTGTGGCAGGCAAATGCTGAAAACAGTGTGAGCTCCTGCCATGAAAGCAGGCATAGGCAGAAATTTCTCAGTGGGAGGATTACCTCCTTTACATACCAGAGACAAGGCAAGGTGAGTATATAAAACACTTTCAGCACTGTCTCTCAATCTCTGATATTTATTTGCTCTATGAGCAGACATCCTGGAAGACATCTATGTTTCATAAAGCCTGGTACCTTGCTTCATTGATTTTTCTTTAGGATGGGAATCATTACGGCGAGCAGGTCTGGCAATTTCAGATAATGACCTGTGTGCAGCACAGGTGTTTCTAGAAACGGTTAATGTTGGATGTAATAGATGTTAAAAGTGTCTCCCCCAAATGCTTCTAGCCTTTTGCAGATGACTGCTTCCATGTGTGTGTGTAGGGCAGAGTATCTCCCAAATTCAGGCTGTCAGTCAGCTCATTCCCATAGCGCATCTAGCAAAGAGTACTATCTCATGTGAACTCGCTGCTGCAAGATGTTTCATATATTAACTGGCTTGATAATTTTATGTTTTTATTAAATACAAGAGGAAAGAAATCTGAAAACTTTTAATCCCATTTACACACAAAAAAGCAAAGTGTTGTTTTTTGGTGTGTAACAGACATTTAATCCCTGGGTTTAGAGGTTTCGATCAAAGAGATTACTTGTGCTAGGACATTTTTATCCAATCTGCCCAATCTTCTTCCTCAGTTTGCAACTGGGTTTGATCTAAATCCACACAAGTTTCCCCTGTCTTGAAAGGGGCACATCACAGTTATTCTAGAGAACTAGAATAACCAGTGGCTAAAAAGCAAGGATCTTTCTTACAAAACCTTTTTTACAAAAAAAGAAAAAAACATCTAAATGGGACCAAATAACTCTACAAAAAAGTAGTCTGGTCTTGTAAATAGATGGAGGCTGATCCTGAGTGCACCTGATGTGTCCTTTACTGATTGTCATGGAGTTTTTATGTCCTAGCATACACTGAAATAAGCGAGAACAGAGTAAGGTTTATGTTCTTCAAATATAAAAAAACAAATCCTGGCTAAATCAAGGTGTAAGGTAGATTCTTATCTCTGTGCTACTGATAGAAATCCATGAAACTTCAAATAAACAATTCAAAAAGTCTGATTTTAATTATATTTTTCTAGAGCCAGAGTAGCTATTAAACTGGATCTATCTACATTTACATCTGTGTACTGAGGAACCAGGCCTCATTTTCCGTACATTTCCAGCTTTTTAAAAGCATTTCCAAAGTGTCATGAAATCACAAATCTTCCATAAATTGATCTTCATCTCAAACATTTCATACTTCAGTAATTGGAGGTTTGTTGTTGTCTGTCACAGTTAAAATGTGGGAAAGCGATCCTCTCCCACGAGGTGAGGAGCTTGCATGCTATATTTCAGTCCCCAAGCATCTGGGACCGCAATGAATATCTGGGCAGTCCCTGAACTGCAGCACAGAATTGCTAATGAGTCTATAATGAGTAAGGAAGAGAATTGTGGCAGGGAATAAGGATGCGTCCCAAAGCCCGCTGACGTGAATGGCATGACTGCTGTTGACTGCAGTGGCCTTTGAGTCAAGCTCTTGGCATGTCTGTGAAAGGAAGGCAGCGTCAAATGGTATCACTGTATCACATCTTACTCAGGATAACCACATGCTCATCTTTTTTACTTTCCCTCCCAGGATGGAAGGAGCAGTTTTATTGGCCACCAGCTCGGAGGGGTCATGGAAGTACCAAACAGCAAGGACCAGAGAGTCAAATCAGCCAGAGCCATCCAAATCACTTACTACCTCCAAACGTATGGCTCTGTCACCCAGGACCTCATTGGGGAGAAATGGGAGAGTGAATTCTGTAAACTGATGCACAAGATGCAGCTGGATCACCAAGATCTGCAGCTCTACTCACTAGCGTCCTTTAGCCTCTGGAAGGACTTCCACCAGACCAGTCTCTTGGCCAGGGGCAAGATTTTGGTGAGCCTGATGCTGATTCTCCTGACTGCTACCCTCTCGAGCTCCATGAAGGACTGCCTGCGTAGCAAACCTTTCCTGGGACTCTTGGGAGTACTCACTATCTGTATTTCCAGTGTCACTGCGGCAGGGATATTTTTCATTACTGATGGAAAATATAATTCTACTCTGTTGGGAATCCCTTTCTTCGCTATGGGTAATTATTTATCTTCATAATAATAGGATTAACAGAGCTTAATGACAGGATTGTAAATTACATCCTGGGTTATAAAGTGCAGATTTTACCTTGAGTGAAAGTCTAAGTCGTTTTCATCTTGTTAAATAGATCTGTGCCTTGCCAAAAAAAAAAAAAAGGGGAAAAAAAAAAGAAAAAGGGAAACACAACAAAGCAGTAGCAACAATAAAGAGCAAATAACGTTGCTGGAATCTCGGCCAATAGGAGAGAGGGGCAGTTTTATTGATCTCTGTTACAAAACGAAGGAGAAATTGTTATTGAAAACTAGTCAGCTCAGCACAGAAAATGGATATATGTTGACCTGGTTTTGATGGGATGCCAGCCGAAAGAGTAAGTTAAAATAGGAGGGGGCGGAGGAGGGAAAAATTTTAGCATCCTTCCCGAGAAGGTCTGCTCTTCCAGCTTTGTCTGAGGGGCAGAGGGGAACAGGTTGGTGTAAGAATAAGATTGATGCACTTTATCTCAGAGAGGAGATTACTGTTGTGGTGTTTGCCAGGCTGTAAGTAAAGGGGCCTGTCAGTATCGGCAGCACATAATCCCTCGGTTTGTGAAGTCCCAAATCAGCTGCAGAGATTTCCTTTGTGTTGCACCTGGGCAGGGGAAGGTGCAGATGAAGAACAAACATAAACCCCAGCTCTTTTAGTAGAAGAATTGTTTTCATTCCTTCTGTTCTCATTTCTGTTCCAAGCACTTTTAGTGCATCTGTGTGGTTAATGAGTTTGCTGGGAAGGTATGTTCAAAGGGGAGAGGGAAACGTGCCCAAAACGGCTTGCTGAGGCAGCATTGTTCAGTGCAATCACATCCAAGTTTGTCAGAGTTTCGCCCTATCATGAGTCTGAACCCCAGAGATGACTCTGTGCAAAATCTCAGCAGTGGCTGCCCAGACCCAAAAACCTTCACGCTGGCTTTTTGATGGCAGGAAATCTTACCTGTGGACAGAACTCTGCATCTTTACAGTTAATTTCTTAAATTCCATTCATGCTTGTGGTACTCAATCCCAGTCCTCTGTTACAGTGAGAGATAACTAAATACGCAAAGCCACAAGCTAGAGTCAAAGTTTGGAGAAGGGTCTTATATTTTTCCTAAAATGCTCAACCCCCAAAAACCTACATTTTCTTGCTCTTCCCCTCAAGAAAATCCTGTAGGTGTATGCATCCTCCAACCCCCACCTCCTATTTTGTCTGTCTCCTGATAATGCATCTGTGTCACTAACCAAGGGGACTGAGCCATGGCCTCACCAGTCCTGCACCCAGCATCTCTGGAGCAGCTGGCTGAGGTGGGAAGGAGTGGGGTGGAGTGGATGGTCGAGATTCCAGAAGGGAAAGGGAAGAGTGAGGCAAAAGACCCCAAGGAATTGCATGATTGGTTCAGCCTCATTAATACTGATAAACAAAGCCATGCCAAAGCCTCTAATTCAATCATCTGCACTGTTAAATTGTGGCAATGGCCCCTGGCACGGTCTGAGCTGTGCCAACTCTTCAGCTGCTGTGCACAGCTCCGCAGTGTAAGAGAGTTTGCTGGAAAGAAAGCGCTGAGAGTGGGAAGAGGCCAGCAGGAGGAGCAGAGAATGTGCCAGGTTGTGACAGGGGTGGATCCCAACCTGAGCAAGGGGTGTGGGCTTTGGGAAAAGAGATCTGTGTGGCAGGATGGAGAAAAGGATGACAGCGGGGAAGGGGGGGGCTCATGGTGGTTGTCAGATTACGGCAACCTTTTTGTTGGGTGTCAGGAAGCGCGTATCAAAGAGTGGGGCCAAATGGCATTGCCTTGCTTGTGCAGCAAGTTGAAGTAAAGGCAAGAAAACACCGAAGTGATGAAAAACACCTTCCCTCAATTGTTTATTCCTCTGTTGGTGTCCCTTTTTAGACAGCTGTAGAGAAGGGTGACCCATCTTTGTTTGACAGGTCCCAAATTTGTCACGCCCAAGGAGCCCCAAACAATGCCTGTAGGTGAAGCTCATCTTCGGGCTGACCTCAAAAGCATCACCATCTATACAGGCCAGGAGCATCAACTGAAATGGCAGTAGCATTGCACTCGATTTATACACACCCGGCAGCCACCAGATGAGACAAGGGTGGGAGTTTCTGAAAGCAGAGTGGCTCAGTTTGCCATCTAGGATGGTGGTAATCCGGGAGTTTGTTTGCTGTTTGAAGAAAAGTAATGTTTATAACTTTCTGTTGTGTTTTGCACTGTCATTCTTGTCACAGCCACCGCCAAGAGCAAAAGAAAAGAAAAAAAACTCCCTTCAAGTGAGATATTTGCAAGGATTGCTTCTATAACATCATATTGAATGAACTTCAGATTGAAAAAGAAAACATTTAAGTAATCCTTCTACAGAAATTTCATTCAGGAATCGCAGACTGAATTGGAAATATCATTAGAGAACAACTTGCAATGCCTGGGAACTGCTGCTGGTAAATATTAGGCAACAGTTTTACAGTTCGATGAACCAAAAGACAGGAAGAATGTCTTGCCAAAGTCATACTGGGTTACATCCTGCAAAGTGCCATCTGCCTTTAGTCCCTTAAATGACAGTGCCAGCTAATGACGTCTTGCTCTGCCCATGATATGCTCAGGGCCTCACAGCCCCGGGCTCCTCACAGAGCAGGGTTTTCTATTGAACCTGGTTTACCGTGAAGTGTCCTGACACCTTAGAGTAGATCCACTGAAGACCCCAAGGCTGTTAATTCTGTGGGGCAATGCGTAACTGTGGCCCTTGTTGTACCAGTGTCCCTCGCTGCTGGCACAACAGAAGGCAAACAATACATCATATAATAATTGAGTATAGATTAAAAAGTGTGCAAAGTGGGGTTTCCCAGAATTACAAACGCCAGATTTGCAAGTCAGCCTTTCAAAGTCAAGTTACTTAGATTAAGAAAATTAAAGCAAAATACAGGCAATAATAGCCACAAAGTGCCTGCAAGTGCACTGCTATGCAGAATACACAGGCAACCTTAATTCTGGCAGCTCCTAACTTGGGAATGTTTCACCCTGACATTTGCAAAATGTCCATTTAAAGTATATTTGTTTGGTAAAAAGACAAATATGCAGATTTTTTCTGACATTCACTTTTCAAAGGATTAATTTTAATGGAAATTCTGTGATGTTCTTCTGCATTTGTCCTTTTTGCTGCAGAGATGGCAGGATGCTGCCATCTGAATGACAGGAATAACCCTGGACTTGTACAAGTGTTTAGGTCCATAATTCCTATTCCAATGCAGAGCTTCTGTGGGTTTCAGTAGGTGATAGAAGCCTATATAAAAGTGAAATGTTTAATATTTTTCTAAATTTGGACCGAATGACCTACACATCAATTATTTACCGTAGTCCTGCTGTGAGGGAATGATCTGCTGGGATAAAGCATATCTCTGATATACTGGGGGAAGAGTGTTAGCTCAGATTGGCTTTTCTCTTTATCTTTGAAGGTGAGAAACTTCAGTCTTAAGTTAGGTATGAGGACAGCGGTGGAAAATCCTGCTTGCTCTGACTCCCTCTTCCCAATACCACGGTCTTCTCAGGCAGCCACCTCAGGAAAATCAGTTTCCCCAGGACAGTGTCTACCACTGTGTTTTTGGAGTCAGCGGGGAGCAACTCTTCAGAAAGGTCCTGTGCAAATAACACTCTGACTGCCAGGATCTCCTGCGAACAGGAGCAAGAGGTGTTGATTTTGAGCTGTTCATACCCCAGATAAATGGCTAAATGTGGTGAGTTAGAGAAAAGGTGCTTCTTTAGTTTCAGGGCTTCCTCCTTTAGGAACTGAAGTGGACCTAGATGTTTTTTTTTTTTTAAGTCAGATTTTAGTAACCACCATGTGAAATCAGAATACGGGGCAGTTCTATCTTGCATTTTTCTTCTGGGACAAATACAAACTGCAGTTTCTTCTGCAAGTTTGACACCAGCAGAGCTATCACTATTGTATGTGTTTCAGATAGGAGATAGAGGGTCAAATCATTGAGTTTCAGATTTGTTCTAGATGTCAGAAATGAACCTGGTTAGATGTTCACATCTGCCTTTTGTGTTTGGATTCATGATGCAATTTCAAAGGGATGTTATGTATGTGACATATTTATGGTTTCCCACACCCAATCATCACTAATTAATATAACCAGAAGGTTAACTACATAATTGAGATATTATTGCTCCCACAATTTTCTTTTTAATGCACAGGAACCAGACTGATATCATCAGAGAAATAATGATTTAACTCAGCTGAGGATCTGACTGTATATTTTTAAATGCAGGTATATTAATTATGTCATTTTACACTGTCATTATTTTTGGTCAGCCCATGAACTACCTCGTTAGATAGACTAGTGGAAATCTTAGGTTAAAAATGTAACTACAGTGTAATTAGAATGTAATTATGCTTTTTGTATTATAAAGTGTATGTGTTTCTTAGAAGGCTGGATTCACAGTGGATGTAAGAAATATTTCCTGCCCTTTGTAAGCACAGACCATGAAGACCGTAAGATCTTCATGGAAATGGCTATTTCTCGTTAAGTCTTTAGAGAACACTAGTCTCAATGGATGCCCTACAACACGTTGCAATATTATTACTCCTACTACCAACAACGACACTGTAAGTAGCTGTGTAGTAAAGAGATACAAAAACTTTAGGAAACAATAGGCTACCTGTTTCCAGCAGTAACCCCATGCCTGATGTAAGAGCACAAGATGGATGGCAGAGATTGTACTTACAGTGCAGACTTTTCTGGTAAAATTCCCAGCTATTTCTTCCCCTGAGTTATTCAAATGGAAGAAGGAAGCAAGGCAAAAGCAGACAAGACTCCAGGCTGTTATTAACATTTCAGACAGAAGCCGTCTAACCTCTTTTGGATGGCAGTTGTTAAAATAATGGCTGGTGATCACCTTTAAGTAAATTTGAGATGTCACAGTATTACCATTAGTGGTAGAGCTGTCGGAAATTACAGAAAAAAGTCCTAGTGCAGATGAGCAAATTATTT